CTGTTGCAGAAGGAGCTGAGCAGACCTGACTGCGGAATGCTCGGCTCAGAGACCTGGGCGGGACAGGTGGTGTTCTGGAGAGTGCTGCCAGTGGTAATGGTGACCAGGTTGTGATCTGGCATGGCTGGGAGCTGTGATCCCAAATGTTGTCAAAAATGTTGTCAGTTGTCAAAACTGACAAGTAAATGATGCACTGGCTATTTCTCTCCCATGCACACTCTTAAATAGCTCATAGACCATTCTTGAGAAAAACACATCTCTATAAGCCTGGTTATGCCTCTGTCTTGTAGTGACCACAGGCTTCTCTGAGAACCTGCAGGTCCTTTCTCTAGAAATTTCTCAAGACCTTCTGTAGCTGGGTTTCTAAAACAGATGCTACTGTCTAAAGTTAAGGGTAGGTAGAGACTTCTTCCACCCTCTGCAGCTGTAGTGTCAGGGTATCATTTTCTCTCTTGATTTATTTTTTTTTTTTTTTTCCCCTAGGGCTACATCTTGACTGCTCCTTTTTTTCCTCTTAAATGTTTGTCTTAGGAGCAGCCAATTTGAATTTAGACACTTTACAAACATTAAGTAAACGTAACATCTCATGAGGAGCATGTACTAATGAGATAGAGAAGCAAAGGGAGATAAAAAGTACCTTTTTTTAGAGCAAGTGGTTATGATATGTTAGGAAGAAGCAAATGCTGGGAATATGCTCTAAATAATTAGCTGGGCACAAAGATCATTTCAGGTGTGTCCTCGATGATGCACCAAATTCCTCATAGATGTTTTATAAGCATCAGGAATTTATTGCACGAGATAGGGGCTGTTCTTGAGCCACAAGGTAATGACGGTCAGGCGGCACAGGTGTAAAGAAATGTACTGGCTTTCTCTTGTGTGAGTAACTAGAAAGACCTGTGGGCTGCAGAAAGTTGACTGACACCAATGTGAGTTAGGGGAATCAGTTTTCTACCCTTTCGTGCCCATTTATTGTCTACCACCATCCCTTTTTGGAGGAACCAGGTCCCTTTTGCTGCTGTAAGGACATGAAGCCAGGTATGCAGCCTGGCTTCAGAGCCTTGGACATGCCCTTTGTCCTGTGTGCTACTGCTTCTCTCCATGATTTTGGCCACTTAGGTGACACCCTTCTAGGTGTCCCTTGGGGCAGATGTGGGCTGTGAGTGCGGAGAACGAGGTGGAAGAGATGGACCTGTTGCATCAGTTGCAGTGATTTCTTTTCCAGATTTTCTCTAAAACTGTTAACTTTGTGATGACAGTGTTGCAGAAGAGGCTAGTTTGTGCCACTTCCCATCATTGCCGAGCTGCAGAGAGCGGTTGTTTTGCTGTGTGTGTTTGTTGGCTCTTCATAGGCGTGTGGTGGTTGTATGAATCTTGATTTTTTTTTTTTTTTATTTTTTTTTTTTTTTTATTTTTTTTTTTTTTTTATTTTTTTTTTTTTTTTATTTTTTTTTTTTTTTTATTTTTTTTTTTTTTTTATTTTTTTTTTTTTTTTATTTTTTTTTCCTCTGCTCCTCACTGTAAGCTGTTCTCAGTCATTTTATAGGTCTAATCCTGCCATAAGGGAAGAGGACACCTGTCAGGCCCTTCCTGGAGTTGGAAGGTGCCCATCTTTTTTAAAGAATGAAATTCTCTAACTGCAGGTTGTTATGCAGCAGCTAGTAAGCAGACAGAAGGCTGTGGCTGGTGTAGTCTGCCGGAAGAGTCCAGTCACCTCCCTGTGCAGATGCCTCTGTGTCTGGTGGCTTCAGCCTGTATGGGCACTTGGAACAGAAGAAACTCTGTTCATTTAGGGGACAGCTAACATTTTAAGAGCTTCCTATATTTTTGTGGTTTGATTGTTGTGTGTTTTTTTTTTTTTATTTTGAGGAGGAATTTGGGTGATTCTGTGGCATAGTTTTACCATAGTTGTGTGTGTCTCCATAGCTGTGGGGGGAACCTGAATCCCAGCAAGAGGAGCCAGAGGGCCTGGCAGCATCCCAGATATGTTTGTGTGGTGGAGCGGGGCAGAGCGCAGCACCTCTGGCCCATCCAGCTCTCCTCACAGGTGTTACTAGTGCTCCGAGCATTCAGCCCAGTGCCTGTTCACTTCCATGCCTGCATTGAATTGGTGCGTGGAGTGCTGTAAGAGATGAAAATGTCCCTTGCTGACATCCCCCCCTCCACACCCTTTCCCTGTTGTTTTGCAGTGGTTGTGCCAATAGTGATTTACAGCTGAAAACCTGCCCCCTTTGGTAGAGTCCTGCCAGTAGAACAAGGATTACATCGAATTACAGGTGTAGGGCTAGAGGGACTTGAAGAAGGGATCTAGTCTTTGCAATGAAATAGCGTCTGCGTCAGCTGTTTATTCTTTTTCTCAAAAGGAGAAAAAAAAAACAAACCAACAACCAAAAAACAGTCCTGCAGATTCTGCATCCTGAATAACCTGTTTCAGTATATCACCACTTTGGCACCACATAAATTTGTTTCTTCATATCCAGGCTGAATCTTCTTTGCCATTTGAGCTGATGCTACAATGTGGAAAAGTTGAGCACTTTCCCTCTTTCTTGTGACTTTTAATGAATGCAGACTGTTCTGTTCCCTTCAGTGTTATCTTTTTAAGACTAAACACACCCAGGTCCTTCAGGTTTTTTTTCAGGTCATGATGTCTGCACTCTAATTTTGTTTCTTTGCACTGCAATTTCTCTGATTTTTGCATCTGTTTTTATAAAGAAGAGTATGTGAGGCTGGGTGTGGTCTGCTGGCTAAAGTCTCACCTGTGTGGAGTGGAATGGAATCACTGCTTCTGTGTCACACCAACAATGTAGCTACTAATATGTCCCAGGATGTCATTTGCCTGCTTTGTAGCAACATAAGCCTGCTGGCTTGGAATTAATTTCTGAATCAATGTAATGCATGTAGGCTTTTTTTTTTGTGGCACATAGGAGTTACTGTTTTGTCCTGTCTCTTTGACCCCCCCTCCCCCCCCCTTTAGTATACTGTTTTGTACTGATCTTTACCAAGATTGGTTTGATAGTATGCTATAGGTAGGTCTAGGGTTCCTGCAGCCAGTTCAAAACACTGCAATAAGATGCCACAAAATCCTGAGCTGGTTTGAACTTGCTATGTTGAGGGATTTTTTTTCTTGTTAAAAGAAAAAAAAAAAAAAAGTGATGGGTTTTGTATGGGTCAGTAGAGTTTACACTTGATCAGATATCATCTTGCCACAAAAAGTTTTAGTGGTTCCTGCACAGCTGGACAAGCTAGATGTATTCATTGGCTCCATCTTGCATTCTCCCTGCTCCTGATGTCCATGGTCAGTGGAGCTCAGTGTTCTTCACCGGAGCCATGGGACCCTGTCCTTTAATTTTCTTTTCGATTGCTCACTGTAGCTGGGCCTTCCTCCTGGAGTGACTTCATTCAGGGACTGAAATTGGAAAAGAGCCAAGCCTTTAAAAAAGCAGTTTTTCCTGTTAGTTGGTTCTGACCCTGCTCACTCACAGAGTCAGGTGTGAGCATGGGGAGGGGACGGCTTCATAAGGGGGTGGGGGGACAAAGGGCAACACCATCCTTTTCAGCTGCAGTGAGCCCTTAGGTTGGTTCCAACACCCTGAATTTTGTCTTGGTAATTTCAGGGCCCTTTCTGTCTGGCTGTTACTTAATGCTTTGCTATCTTTATCACTTTCTTATCTTGTAGGTAACTACAAACTGATCATTTAACTTGATCAAGAATCTTTCAGAGGATTGAAGTTACTGGTCTGTAACTTCTTAAGTCTTCTCCCACCTTTTTTTTTCTTTTTATAAAGGTAGGTGAGGCATGATGCTTCTCCAGCCTTCTGTGGCCTTCCCATTTTCCTGTAAACTTTCCAAGATGGTCACTAATGCTTCAGAGATTACTTTGACTGTTTTCTTATATGCTTCTAGGTGAATGCCATTATTCCCTCCCCCAGCTCTTTTGTAAACATTTGTTAAGCCGTTCTTTTCTAACCCACTCTTTTCTCCCATTTCCAAATTAATTTTGCTTGTCACATTTCGCTTTTTCTTGTGGAGAAGGAAGGAGCATTTGTACTTCAGCCTTTGCATCATTTTCTTTCCTTTCCTGTTTGCCAATGAGAGTGTAATTATCCTTATTTTCTTCTTCTAACATGCCCACTTCTCTCCAGTTTTCTTGTGACTGAAGAGTTCTTAGTAACAGCTGTGCTGATTTTGACTAAAGGACCGTCTAACCCAGTATCCTTCTAGGAAAGAATAAAAATAGGACAAATATATAATATTTTCCAACTACTCTTCCAGCCTCCAGCTCTTTTCAGATAAGAGGATTTCCTGAGCTGTCTAACCATTAATAATCAATAGATTTGTCTTTCTAATATTTGTCCTGTCTTATGTTGAATCCATGTAAAATTTTCCATTATTTTTGGAGAAGTACTGTCACACAAGTGATCTGCTGATGAAGAGTCACGTTTGTGTGGTTTTGAAGCTGACACTCACTGGCTTCACGCGGTGGCTGTTAGCACTTATGTCTCAAGAGACAATCTACCTCTGTTCACCATCTTTACACCACTCATGATTTTACGGACCTCTGTTATGTTGCCTGTCTTGCATCCTTATTACATGGATGCTGTTTCACGGCAAAGAGAAGACTTATGTGGGTAGCATCTCTGGGCAATTCCTTTCTCTGAAGCCTCGGGACACTGAAGGGCAAGGACAAGGGTGCTTGGAGTCCTTGTTCAGCCCACCTGAGGGGAGATGCTGAAAGCCAGACACTTTCACAAGATGTCTCATGTGCAGTTTCATACACTCAGTGATAAACAGCCTCTCTGTCCTTTAGTGCTGTGTTGAAATCAGGAAGGAAGAGTTTCAAATGTTCCTTACAGGGATACATACCTGTGCTAAGATGCTGAGGGAGGGGATGGTGTGACAGAGGCCTTTCCTCTGGGATGGTGGGAGGGTCTCAGGCACACTCTCAGAACTGCTCTCCCCTGCTCTTTTCAGAGATCGGCCAGCCTGGCTGAGACCACTTAGCGATGACAAAAAAAAAGCTTCTGCTTGATGGGACGCTCTCATTGTTTCTAATGGTGGCCTGTGAAGCTCAGCAGCTCCCGAGGAGTCATGTTGCTGCTAGTTCTGGTCCTCTGTGCGAGAAAGAGGCAGAATCCTGGGGAACCCTTTTCAGCAGCGAGCGGCTGGATGCCTGGATCTGTTCCCTCATCGGTTCGTTCATGGTGGGGCTGAGTGGGGTCTTCCCCTTGCTGGTGATCCCGTTTGAGACGGGAGCTGCTCTGCGGTCAGAAGGTAAGCCCGCTACCTGCATTAGCCTTTCTGAAGCCAAAAGGCCTTGGTTGTGACTGAACAGCGCAGTGATGAACAGGACCTTTGTCACAGAAATACTGTTCTCTGAAATAGATGATTTCCGGTGCTTTAGTCCATACCTGCCAATTTGATAGGGAGTCCTTGTTTCTTTTTTTTTTTTTTTTTTTTTTAGCTGGATCACACCGTTTGAAGCAGTTGTTGAGTTTTGCAATTGGTGGACTACTGGGGAATGTGTTTCTGCACCTGCTTCCTGAAGCCTGGGCCTACACATGCAGTGCAACAACAGGTATGAAAGTCCTACGTGCCTGGAAGCAGTCCATGCTATGCCTACTGCTGCATTTTTTGAGTCCATTCCATCTTGGAATCACAAGACCAGCCAGGCTGGGTCAGACCAAAAACTGGTCTAGGCTGATATTCTCTTTCAAATAATGTGTAAAAGCAAATGCCTAGGGAAGGATATAAGAAAATAAACCCACATGTAATACTTCATCTTTGTACTCTGCAGTCCTCCAAAGATTTTGAGATTGGAGGCTTCCTGAGTTGGCCATGGTTTCTTTATGTTTAGTAACTTGCAATGGATTTTTTGTCTATCAACTTTTCCTATTTTGCCTTGGACTCCCATAAATCTCTGTTGACTTTCCTTTGTCCTTTCTGCAAGTAAATGGAACGCTTCTTTAACCTGATGGGAAGTTATGAATGTGTGTGTGGTCTAGTACATGAAGATGTACACCATCCTGGGTGGGGATTCTGCCCCATCAGATACATCTTGGCTATAAATCTGTCCCTATAACAGAGTTACTCTTAGAGCCTCTTTCTTGGGACTAACTTTCTAGGGACTAACCTTCTGCTGGGTACTTTGATCTATGGGAGCCCAAATGTGTTGCCCTCATTGTCCTTAAAGCCATGACTAAGAGGTGGGAGGGGGCAGGGGGAGACAAAGGAAACGCAGGTGACAGAAATCTGCATTCACCAGCAAACTAAACACTGTTTGAGTTGGGATAGAGCTTGTGGTATCAGTGTATCTCCTTTATCGCTTAGATACCCAGGGTTGTCGAAACCTGTAGTGATTGTATCTCTGCTTCAGCAAACTAATAGCATAGAAGGCAAGTGCTGCTGCATCCTACCTGTTGAGAAACCAAAAAAAAAATTTTCCCACTGAAAATGTGAGAGAGGGAAGACGATGCCCAGGGTTTCCCAGACTTCCTTGCACCTGTGTCCTGGGATTTCAAATCTACTGAGGCTTTGGCCCTCTTCTTGCTCATGGCTCTGGCACTGCCAGCAGAACCTGCTGTCCTATTTTGCTCCTTCCTACAGTGGTTCCCAAATGACTCTGTCTTCCTGCTCTAGCTTGTTTGCTTCTGCCAGGCTGTCCTGAAGCATAAAGGTTTCCTTGACCCATGTAAGCCCCATTACAGAGTCGTTCCGTTCTTCCACTGCAATGCAATCTCCATTTCTGCAGCTAGGCTGAATGGATGATTATCTCACAAGCTTGGCTGTAATTGAAAAGAAATGTTATAGCTTTGGGCTTAATAACTTGCCCAGGTGTGGCAGAAAGGGGAAGGTGAGTCTGTAGCTCCGCTAATAGCAGATTTCATGTCAGTGCTTGCTGCTCAGTAGATACAGCTGCAGGATTTTTATTGCTGTAATCTTCACTTGCCTCTGGAGCTCAGGGAAATTCCCAGTGTTGTCAGGAAATATTCTGGATCGCACTGTTGAAGCAAAAGGGGTGGGGGCTCTCACTCTGAGTGTCCTGAGATGAGGATATCTGTTAGATCAAGAATGAATAAGTTAAACTCATTTGCTGTGCAGTGTGTTTGCTCCTTATTCCTGCAGGAGGTGTTTCCATTGTTGTTTCTTGGGTTTTGTCTCAGAACTGCTGGTTAAACTGTCTGAGGTGGGGTGTGTTCACATGTGGGAAACGCTGTTCTTGATAGTGACATGAAGATTTCTCTCTTGTCCCTCAGGAGAAGGGCAGAGCTTTCAGCAGCAGAAGCTTCTGGGTCTCTGGGTGATCACTGGCTTCCTGACCTTCCTCGTTCTAGAGAAGATCTTCCTAGAGAAAGAAGAGAAGGAGTGCCCTGGTGTGGTAAGTTAGCAGCCAGAGGGGAGGGAGTGCTGTTATGTATGGAGCACTGTACTAAACACCTCATCTGCCCTATCTGACAGGCTCAGCAAATGATCCTGGAGCTGTAAGTAGCTTGTCAATGCCCTTTGGGAGCTTTTTGCCACTTCTTTGACACTGGGCTCTAGAAGATGGTGTTTCATCTCCAGGCTTTGGTTTTGTGGTTTTAGCTGAGATTTCTCACCTCTGGGCTGGTTTTATTTTTGATGTGGTATGTGTAGGAGAGCTCCCCTTTTACGGGGGTTGGGAGCTGGAGCATTCGGCAGACGAGGCTTTTGCTCAAGTTAGCTTTGAGGGATGACAGCTTGCTGATGCATATTCCACTGAGCCATCGTGACTCACTCCCCTTCTGGGTCCTCAGTCAGGACAAAGACCAGCCTTCTCTGGAAGGTGTTCGTCACTGGCTTCTCTTCTTCGGTATGGCCTGGACCAGGCATTTGTACAGGTAACTTTGTGTGGTAGAAGGGATTTTATGGTTGGCCAGGTAATGCTTAGCAATGGTCCAGAGGAGAGTCACCCAGCTGCAAAGGGGCAACGTAGACAGAGGTACCAGAAGGTGATTCCAAGATAAAGGAGAGCAGCTAGTCCTCAGACATCTGCACAACTCCTAGCAGCAGCTCCTACAGACTGTTCAGTCCTTGCTGTGCCAGGACTTTTGAGAGGTGAAACTGCAGGTCAGGCACTGCTTAAAAGCAGTTAGGTGTTACTTTGTCTCAAAATGAGACTTTATAGTCTGAAAGGAACTTAATCTCCTCATTTACAGAGAGACTGAAGTCTGAGATGAACATTTTATTGTTTGGAATAATTTTCTAGACTTAGTTATTCTGATGCACTGGAGAGAGTGCAGACTTTTTTTCCCCTGTCCCCTGCCCAGATGGAGTTGCATTTCTCTGGGCAGCAGCTGCCAGCAGGAGTGGCAGATGCAGTCCCTCCTCTTTCCAGTAGAACCTGGCTCATGCCAAGGGGACGTGACTCCAGTTCCTCCTCTCTCTTTCTACTTTCCTTCTCTTGGTGATTGGGGAAGTCCATGTTCTTGTTGTCTCACAGTGCAGGTGTCACAATGTTCTCTGAAATGTGTCTCATTTCTGGCAGTTGTCATAAAACTGGGGTACCAAAGCTGCTGATTTGCATTGTAAGGACAAAAGGATTAAGGGTGAAGATTGGATTTCTGACCCTGATTCATGCTCATTCAATTCATCACTGACAAAAAGGCGATGACAAGTTGTTTTCCCTAATTTAGGGCTGTGATTCCAAAGCACCAGCTGGAAAGATTCCCAATGGAAGTGGCTACCCCCTGCCGAAGGTGGCAGGCCAATCCCAAAGAGCAGGAAAGGGTTCAACTCAGTGTAATGGCTCCTCTCTCCAGTCTTGTCTGACTGACAACAGAATCAAGGTAAGAGACCCATAAACTGACCTTCACATCTTAGGTTTTCGGAGCACATATTTTAAAACTCAGTCAGGAGGACAAGTTGTCTGTGGAAAGAACTGTGTCCGAGTGAGGAACTCAGTGTTTGAGTCGTGCTTGATTTTGCTTTGTCAGGGTGTCTGTCCAAGTCACAGCAGGGAGGAAATAGCAGAGTTGGAGAAAATCTGCTCTGCAGCTTATGCAAAAGAGGCAAAGTCACTATTGTGAGGGCATAAGTCTGATGATGTGCATTTTGGCTGAATCCTGAGACCGAAGTACGGTAGTTTGACATTTTTCTACTCTGTATCATCTAGTCATAATATCTTTATTTGCTTAAATTTTTGTGCCATGATTTCTCTGTTCTCTAGTGCCTGCACTGTACCAATTGTGAGCTGCATGTTTCCTTTTAAGGCACCTTTTAGAAGTGTTTTGACAGTTGAAGCTACCCACTGTAACACTTACAAGTTCAGTTTCTCAGATTAGCAGTTTATCTGCTGCCAGTAAGGGCTTCTTGTCCACTTCTGCCTCCAAACCTGTTCTTCCCATCACTTCTTTTGCACTGGACCTCATCTGACCCCACAATGAGCCTATTCAGGGAGCTAAACAGGCAAAAAATTAGCTTTTTCTCCCCACCCACACATACCCCCAGTGCCCACTGCCTTGCCCAGGTTTATTTCTCTTCTAACTTAACTTCTTGAATCAGCTTGGCATGTAGACAGGCAGCCTGTAGTGCTGGGATAAGGGACATCAGCGTGCTCATAGGATTGGAGGTGGAGGAGGGAAAAGGAGTACTGTACCATTGGGCAGTGGCTAACCTTTAGATTGGCTTTGCTTTCGGCTTTATGTTACTATCTTTGCACTGTAGAAACCCCTGTCTGGGTGAACGTTACAAGCAAGAGAGTAAACAACTGCTTTGGCGAAGGAGGACCTATAATTTGCATTTGAAAGCACATAAAAATGTGCAAGATTGTAGGAAAGTAACTATGAACAGAAAGTGTGGTTGCATGAACTAGCCCAAACCTGGATATGTGGTCAGTCAGAGGCTCTTCAGTCTTTCTATTTCAAATCTGTTTTGCTGTAACTTTATAGATCTTGCTATACAATGTGAATGAAATGCTGAGGTCACTGGGTATTTTTGATATGTCACATTCGTGTAATCTGTACAGAACACTGTACAAACTGCAAGGTGCTGCGTTGGTGTTTCTAGAGGTGATAGTGGTGAAGTGACCAATATTACTGGGTTATGAAACATCATGCCATTATTTTAGAAACATTTATATAAGGAACTATGGACTTAGAGGATGGTCAGTCTGCCACTGATTTCACGTAGAAATGAAACACTGATGGGAGACACAATTGCTCAGGGCCTGGTCCTAATGTAAAAAAAGATGATGTAATTAATGCTAATTCATATGATCTTATGGAAGATAAATTCTTGTCAACCAGACATTTTTACCAGCTTTTTATGCAGTCACAAGATTGTTTGATAAAGCTTACAATACTGGAAAATTTATATGAAACATAAATTTCTCCCACATTTTGATAAAACTAGTACTGCGCAAAATCAAGTTTGCTAGTATTAGCTGTATTATAAATCACTTATTCTATCTTGTAAGCAGGGACTGGATTAATGCAGCCCCCCTCAAATCTGTTCACTGGTGGTTTAAGTTTTTTCTAAGTGATTATTTGTAAAAACAGTATATCTTCACATTTGCAGATACTACTATATTACTTAAGTGACACATTGTGACTGCACAAGGTCAGTGATATTGGCTAAACTGAGTAACTTAATCAAAAGAGCTGAATTTTAACATGTTCTGATACATGTAAGTATTTAAGAAAGAATGCAGACCACGTTTACAAGCTAGGGACAGTTTCCGCTGTCAGTGCTTTGGAAAAAGGTATGAGAATCACAGCAGGAAATTGTTTGAACATATTCTTCCATTATCATGCTACAACCAGGAGGATGGGTGAGTAGGAAATAGTATGTGAGAGAAGAGGCAAGTGTTCCTCTTTCTATATAGCAGTAATGAAACAGCTATCTGACTTTTTCCAGTAGTTATTCACAATATCCAAACACTACTGATAATTTGTAAAGGGGTCAGGAAAGTGCTGAAATAATTATTTTAGGTTTGCAGTATATGATAAGAAGTGGTTTTCTTTAGTCTTTAGCTCTGTAGACATGACAGATCAGGGGTGACAAAGTATACACATACCCATGTAGAGGCACGACTAAATTTGAATAAAGCAGTACCAAATGGTGGCAAGCTAGAAATCAAAGACAACTCTGTAACTGAGGGTAACTTGCCAGTGGACCAATTTACCTTAGAGACATAATAGATTCTTTGTTGCTAGTGGGCTTTAACCTGTGATATAAGCTACTTTCTACAAAGTACACTGTAGCTTAAGAAACAATGGGCTTTGTGCAGAAACTGATTGAGTTTTCAGTTGTGTTATGTAGAAGGTCTAGACAACAATGGAGAGCACCTCTAGCTTTAAGATCATAACAGGTCTGCTCAGTCTTATAGACAGTTGTCAATATGCATGAACTAGAAACTAATGAGTTAACTCGTGTATAGTTTTAACTTTCTACCTTCTGAGCAGATAATCTGAATATTTTAATAGCCTTTCTGATAGGGGGGAAATTAACAAAACTACCAAGATATTCCTGCGTTGTTAGCCTGTTTCCTTAGGCAACAACATAAGCAGTCATTCCATCTGTCTGTCCATCTGTTCTGCCCTTCATTTTCAATAGCTTTTGAACCCGTAATTAATTTTACCTGAGTTCAAGAGAGGACAGAAGTCTTGAAGGTAATGAAATTTCTGTAAGTTCCATAAAAATTAGCATGGTGGTAGAGGAGGAATGCAAACTAATGCCCTGTTGAAAAACTCTGGCAGAACTTAGATGCTGCACGCTGCTTGGTAGTTCCTCCTGGTTGGCAAATCAGCAGATAAGTCTCACTGCCCCTATCTTGTGGGGAAGTGTCTAGTGGCTGTCATGTAGTGCAGGGTGGGGAAGGGACATGCAGGGAAACCAACGTTGGCTGGAAGTGAGCAAAGTTGGTACTTGCAAAGAAAAGAGAGAAAGCCGTAGTGAGCCAGACTTCTTTGGTTCTATTATTCACTCAGTACCACCCCCCAGAAAAAAAAAAAGGAAAGATACTACTTAAACAAACAAACGAAGTCAGTCATCCTTCAGGGCTTAACGATTAGTAAGCTGTAATCACTTGTCTTTTGCCCATACATATTAGAACTTCTGCTCTTCAGCTGCTGCTGTGATAATTTGTCCTAGCTTGAAAACTGCAGGTGGGAGCCTTCCTTTGCACACAGACAGATCAGTTCTGTCCTGCATTACAGCCTTTATTCCCTCAACAAGTAAAAACATTGTAGAGTACTTTTGCCTTGCTTATTCTTTCTTTTTCCCTGTGGCACATGGGGTCCTTGATGATTTGTAGAAGTATGTTTTATTGCACAGTGACATTAATTCTGAAGCATGAGCATAAACACTTTATCTGGCTGTGCGCTTTATGAGCAACAAGAATATCCTATTAGGAATTCGCAGAATGTAAATGTCAGAGGCTCATAACTGTCAAATCAACCCAATTTATTTCTGAGCACTCCAAGGCTTTGCTTCTTTCGGTGACAGCTTTTGCCCAAGCCACTGACAAGAAAAAGTCATAATGTTTTAATCATGAAGTCTATTTTTTCCCTATACAGTGGTATGGGAAAGCATTTTTGTGTAAAACTTATGTGAATAATTATTACTAGCCTGGGGGGAAAATGCAATCACATAAAATCCCAATATGAAAAGGACAAATTTTAGACAGTCATATTTGACTGCAAATGAGAAATGAGAATTAAAACTGCTGTGTTCATGGGTTTGCCTGCATGCATCCCTTTGTGTTCCCCTTCTTACAAAAACATGCAGACAACTTTTTCTGCATCCATTGTGGAGACGTTACTTAGATTATTACTTAAAGATGATCTGTAGTTAGATTTTGCTTAATTCCTTATTTTCATATTTAATAGTAAGTGCACTTTTAAAATTTTAGAGCCTATAAAGATGTCCTGCGATTGCGCAGTAGGAATGTCCTGCAGAAGGGTGATGCTTTGGCAAGAGACTTGACAGAAAGTCCTGCCTGAGCTGTGGCATTCAGATGGCAGGAAGAAAAGATGCCCCAGGCAGAGTTTAATAGAAACAGGGAAGAGCAGAAGACCAAAAAGGGCTCGTGAAACCCATCAGCACTTGTGTTTTTCCAGCTGAACTTTGGCATCTGATGCTATGGTGAAGAAAGAGGGTAATGCCTCACAGTTTCTAGACAGTCTTTCCTCTCCACTCACGGGATGCTGCCCTATATCTGGAGTTAGTGTATGCCAGCTTAGTTCTTGCAGTCCAGAGACAGCCTGATGTATTGGCTAACACCTGGGTTTATAATTATTCATTATAGTTCCATATAGCAAAATGCTGTATCTCAGGACCCACACGCAGTAGTTTCTGTTAAATCTGATGGAAAAAAAACTGTGAGCAAAAGACCTGGAGTGGTACCCTCATAAATCACTTCAGGTCAAATACTCAGAATTTGTCTGGAGGTGACCATAGTTGTTATGATAGTCTAACACAGAGATGGACTTGTAAGGAAGGATGCTACTTTATGCTTATAATTCTAAGAAAAGTGTTTATATGCAAATGCATATACATGCTATCCAGCCTTCTAGTAGGTGGCTTTTTGGTGACTGTCATCACTATCTTCTCTTTTTGTTCTCAGTAAGGGAAAGCAAACCCACAAGCACAAGCTTTTTTAGTACAATGCTTGAAGATTTGTTTAGTTATAAAAAGCAATTTCAGCAACATTTTTTCTGTTGCATTGTTCTTGCCAGCTTTTGAAGAGGAGATATTTAACAGTTATATGCTAAAGTACATGACTAGAAAACAAGGTCAGGTCATATTAGAGGCCAGTCACCGGTGTAAATTAGTCAGCATTACCTAAAATCGGTTTGGTTTAGAATCAGGTATATTCTTACATTTTGGCTTTCTTCTTTTTTCTTTCTCTTTTTCTGTTTCTAGAGCTCTTTGTCATTTGCATAAGATGATTACCCTAATCTCAGACAGTACTTGCCTACTCTAAAACATAGTTTACTGTAAAACTGAACGTAACATTTAATTTGTGCTTGAGCACTGACAGAGTTTCAGATCTTCGCCAGAAGTTCTGAAGAAGAAGTACCATGTCCTGATCTTTCCCATCTGACCGTGACTCTGTATAACCTGTGTCTAAGCCATGTGCTTTCTTTTGCCTTGTTATGTCTCTTCCTTTCTCAGGGGCTTTTCCTTTTCTTTGCAGATTAGCGGATACCTCAATCTGCTGGCCAACACCATTGATAACTTTACACACGGCCTGGCAGTAGCAGCCAGCTTCCTGGTCAGCAGAAAGGTAAGGTTTCTGTCACCAACTGTGTACTGAACTGGAGAGGCCTGTTCTGAAGTTTGATGCAACATGTGAAAAAAAACCAAAGATGTGGGGAGTTCCCTCCTATTTTCTGGAAGTTTCTGAGAAAATAGGATTGCTTTTTACTGTAGTCTCCATCCTGATCCTGTGATGCAGAGCTTCGTCAAATTTGAGACGTTACCCATTTGTACTGGCATTAGGGGAAGGGTTAGCTCATCTACTCTTTTGTTGAATAGTTCTAAATTCTGAGTAACAGATCTTAACTTGGAGAAAGGGACCTTGACATGCTGATGAAAGTCTCATCTCTCAGAGCTGGGGAACTATTTCCTAATCACCTTCTCTCCTCTGCTACAGGTTGGGTTCCTAACCACAATGGCCATTCTCCTGCATGAAATCCCACATGAGGTGAGAGGGGCTTTGTATCCCTGCCATCATGAGAGATTACAAGGGTGCTTCATCTGCTAAGAGGAGGGCTGTGTCTGGTTAACATTTTATTGTCCTTTCAAAAGCTGCTTCCTCTGGGAGACTGGCAACGTGGAAAAGTAGAAACAGTCTTGAAGCATTGGTCTTGTTACAGATGACTTTTGTGACTGAGAATGTTCATATTCATTAACTGTCAGCTCTTGGTTTTCTTAGGTTGGAGACTTTGCAATCCTACTTCGGGCTGGCTTTGACCGCTGGAGTGCAGCCAAGATGCAGCTTTCCACAGCTCTGGGGGGGATTCTAGGAGCCTGCTTTGCAATATGTGCTCAATCACCAAAAGGAGCAGGTAAGACTCCATGGGACCTCTGTAGGAATAGGAGGGTGGGGCCTATCATCCCCATGTGTGTATCTTCTGTCCCTTCTCTGTTCTCTTCCATGGCTTTGTCTCAGTAAGAACAAAAGCTTTCTGTGTTTGTGCAGGGGAAACAGTAGCCTGGATCCTCCCTTTCACTTCTGGAGGATTTCTGTATATTGCCTTGGTAAATGTTGTGCCTGATCTCCTGGAGGAAAAGAATCCCTGGTAAGTGCTCCCTCCTGCTCTGCTGCAGCAATTCTTGCTGCCAGGGAGCAGGGATGTAACCCTTCCCCATGACTGTTCTGGGAGCACACGAATGCCAGCTTTTCAAATCCCATGGGTAAGGCTGGAATCTAGAGAAACTACTGTGCAAGATATTGTATTTATGGGACTACAAAGACCTTATAAAACATGAGAACCTTCAAGTGGGTCAGTCCCAAAGATTGTGTTAGTGCAATATGTAGCAACACCAGTTAGAGCAGGTTGCTCAGAAACATGTCTGACTAATTCTTCAGTCTTGTCGGCTTCTGGTGTGTAGTGGTTTAGGAGTTGTCTGAACCAGGGCCCCATAGAGGTGTGTGTGCCTGATAGCCACATGTGAACCTATCAGTCACATGCTTCTCTCATCCCTTTTTGACCCTATCCATCATTTGGGGCTTCTGCGATCTCCCTTCTGCAGCAAGTCGGCATAGTTTCACTGCACTGTGTTAAATGATACTTATTATGTGTTTTTTAGCCTTGTGCTTGTTAATTTTTGTTAGATGCTGCTGTGTGAGTAGAAAATAAGATTTCTCTTTATTGTTCAGCATTTCATAGTCTATTATTGTGTCCCACCTCAGTCGTCTCTCTTCTACACTGGTATATATATTCTGGTATATTTGGCCTCCCCTCATTTGTATCATTCTAGTTTTTTGCAGCCCGATTAAGGCTGTAGCAGATCCAAATCTAGCTGTACCACAGTAAAGGCCCTCTCAGATCTGCTGGTAGAGCTGTCCCTGAATGTTCCTTCCCGTGTCAGTTGTAATGTGACAGGTAACTTCAGTAGTTTAGTAGCCAAGAAGCCTTGGCTCACCTAGTTCATTTTGACTGAAACAGTTAACAAAGTGCTCTAAAAACAGCTCCACAGTTATATCTGAGGGGGCCGGAACCTCTGGTGGAGAACTGTTAATGACTGGTTGGGAGCTTGCTTTTGGGTTGGTAATCTCTTGTGCTGGCAGAGCTGTTGGCAGAGTCTGCAGAGATGGTAGGTACACAGTCACGTCAATCCAGCATAAACCTGAGATGGTGCTAAAAGGATGGCAAAATTCATCAGCTTTTTATTTTTAATTTTCCTAACTGTCGTTGTTAGCTGGATGAGGTCCGTAAAGTATCTGTGAACATGCTGCACAAGTGCTGGCTCTTGTGAGAGAAAGGACAGGAATATATACTTGGGTAGCTGCATGACTGAATCAGCTTAAATCAATTTTGAAACCTGAAGACGGGCCTTACAGCTGAGCGGAACAAATACATGTCAGTTTATAGACAACTTCTTTGCTTGGGGTGCTGAGAAGGAGTCTTCTCAGCTGTGTTAGTGGCTTTAGACAGCTGTTGTGTTCTCCTTGTGGTAGATTTGGAAGGGCAAAGAACAAACTGTTCATGAGCCTCTGCACTGCTGCCTATTGAGATTGTTCTATGGCTCCTCCTAATTTTGCTGTTTCTTTCCCAGGAACTCCCTGCAGCAAATCCTGCTCCTGTGTACAGGCATTACAGTCATGGTGCTACTCTCGCTCACAACTGAGTGACTTCTGCGCAGACCTCATGATGCCTCCCAGAGCCACCACAGTGACTCTGAGCTGTTACAAAGCAATAAGGAACACTAATGTTACTTCCTATGTGTGTGCGTGCAGATCTGGCTGCTAGTATGAGAAGCAGGTGAGAAAGAGGTCTGAGTGTGTAGGACTTCGTTCCCTGGCTCTCCTATCCCTGTTCTGCTAAAATCCACACATCAGGGCTTCTGTTTTTTGTTTGTTTTTTTTTTTTTTTTCGTTGGTTGGGTTTTTTTTATGGAGCAAAAGATACAGTGAGCAGAAATGAACTGAACAACTGCTCCACAGAAAATGTACGATGTTTCATTCGGTTCATTCTGATGGAACTGCACCTCCCAAGCTCTTGTGTGAAAACAGTAGAGGTGATTCCTGTAGCTGATGAAGAGGAACGACTTTTCCTACCACTCTAACGGTTGGAGACAGAACAAGAGTGGCAAAGCAACAATAAACTAATAGCTTTAGCCAGAGCTCCCTACCCGTGAGAAATTACGGTGCTATGAGATAGAGGGGAAAGGACCCTTTCCAACTTGATCTCCAGCTTTTCATTGACATCACTTGTTCCTAAAGGTAGTATTAGCCTCAGCAGTCCACCTCTTTGGTCTATTTTGTATTTGTTTATGCTGAAATCGAGCCAAAAGCTTGAGGCACTTTAGGATAGGTCACTACAATTAAATGGTTCAGCTTGGAGATTACTTGCCTTGGCCCTAACCACTCCAATAGCCAGCACAGCTAAACTGTTTATCTCAAAAATGGTCAGTAAATGTTTCTTCTGTTGACATAATACCAGCTCATCTACATCTGGAAGGAAAGCTGTGTAGCTGTTGCGACTGAGCTCCCTCTCCTCAAAATCATTAGCTGAACATGGCTCTGAGCCTGCTTCTGAGACCCGACGCACCCACCCTCTGCCCCACACCATATTTTAGAGCTCTCTCGAGGTATAGCATGTTAGCCGTGCCTGGCATACTACGGTAGCCCTAGACTGTCATGGCAGAGGTCTGGGCAGTTTGGGCGATCATCGAACAGCCTGCTCAGCAGCCAGTAACCCCTGGTTAGCTTTTCCTCTGTTCAGTGTAGACTGTTTAAGAGCATGCTATAACCAAAAATACAGATTTATAGCCTATATCTGGGCTTCTTACCTCACAGTGGAGTTAGTTTGTTGGGGATGAATGGATAAGAAATAATACTGACAGCCCTTAAAGGAAGGGGCACAGCAGCAAAGAATACTGGAGGGAGGGTGAAATGGGAAGGGTGTAGCTGCTGGTGAAAAGATTTTTTTTTTTTAAAAAAATGGGTCTAGAAAAGCTGTGTGCTAAGTAAGGAGAGAAAGGGACATGAAAGGGTGACAATAAGTATGCTTTAAGGGGAGTTTTCTGTTGTGTGACGCTTGGGATAAAATTTTTGGCAATTTGAGACCAATAAAAATAAATTGCATTTCTAGTTTTTTCCCTGCATCCCACCTCCCGGGGCTGACCAGGCCATTGTTCCACAGGGATGTTTAGTTGCCACAGAGATGTGCACAATTAGTAGATCATCCCTTCTGCAGAGCTTATCCTCGCTTTGCATAAATCTGTTTAAAAACAGGTCTAATTGAACTAGCCGAGTGATTGGACACAAAACAGGTGCCACAACGTGTATTGCACCAACGCAACTCTGTCTTTAAACAGCTTTTGTAAATCAGTACAGCTCTCCAGTCTGCACAGGGCCTTATCAAGGGGGCTCATCCCTTGAGAGGGCGATTTAGGTCAGAGCAACGAGGCAGGTATGCTGCCCACAGCAGAGGCATTTACTTCCCTAAGAGATTCCTGAACTGTTGACACAGTTCTTTTTTTATGACAGCTCCTGTCCTACTTTTCAGAGAGCGCTGGAGAGCTCATGCTTGCAGTTCTCTCTGCCCAGGAACTGCTGTCTAACATTTTTTTCAGCTTTCCTTACCCCAGGCTTACATCAGTAACTAGTTTCACTGCAACAACAAGGGAGGCTTAGTGCAATTTTTTTATTCCTCTTTACAAAGTTGCCTTCCTTTGCCAACTACTCCCTCTATCATTCAGTTGTCACAAAGTCCGAAGGTAGCATCCGCTTCCTGCTTTCCTGGAAGGAGGATTAATCTGCAGGGACTTGGGGGAGTACGCTAACCCTCTAGTTCTAGCTTTGGGGTGGTTTTTCCTCCCCTCAGCTCCCCCTTCCCCAGGGACTGAAGTGAAGTGGACCCTGTAGTGTAGGGCTCTGGAGGAAGCAGTTTTGCACAGAAAGATGTGCCTGCCGTTTCCCAAGATGTCTTTCTCAAAATGAGGCTGGCATTTAAGTTGAGGCATTGCCAGGTGAGTGCCCATGAGTTGGTGGTGTTGCTTCAGCACTGAGCCTTGCCAGGACCGAAAACCACAGTCGGGATTTTGTGCTCAGCGCTCAGGAATGCGAAGTGGATGACACTGAAGAAAGAATTCCTTAGTTGTTTTTCTTGGCTGCTACCACAGGCCTGGACAGTCTGTGGTTCTTGGGAAGATACCCTGGTAGGAGGTAGCACTGCGCTTGCGGGAGGGGGAGAGGCTCCTTAGTTTTCCACTACATCAGCCCTGGGGCTGAGGATGGAGAGCCTTGGGAGGAAATGGAGTGTCACTCCACCACATTTGTCACTTTTGGAAATGCAGAGAGAATCGTATTTTCTAGCTCTATTTTTTCAGCTGCTCTTATGCATTTTCCCCCTTCATCTGTATTGGTCTGCTCTGCATGGAGACAATAGAGATGAAATAAATGGTTTTCCATGTGGGTTTGTGTTTTTGGGGTTTTTTTGTCGAAGCTACTACTTCTCTTTGATTTACAAATCCAATTCAAATTTCATTTGAATTACAGAGCAGTATCTCTGGGTTAGTCTAGAGGAGTCTGGTCTCTGTCTTGTTCTCCTTTCTACTCCTCAGACATTCACAATTGAAAGAAAATGTTCTAATCCAGTTTCCTGTTCCTGCTGTCATGACACTGTGGGTCAGGAGCGGTGTGGTCTGATCATAATTCTTGGCTGCGGGTCTGGGTCACCAAAAGCATCACCAAATGAGTTGCTCCTCTTTGAGGGGAGAGCTTGCATGGTAACTGATTATCCAGACTTTTGCAACCATACTTTGTTGTGATCAGTTGTTTTTTTTAATGTAAAAACCTCAAGGCTTATCTGATATCAGTTAACACTAAGCTGTCCTGCCATGTGGGACAAAGGCACAACTATCAAACGTATGTAAGAATTGCCCAGAAAAGACTACAGGGATTTTCTCTACCCTTCAGAAACATGAGTACAGAGCATGTTTATCCCACTCTTCATTTAAAAGATTTTCAGCTTATAAGCACTGAATGGTAGCATGTGGTGCTCAGTTCTTACTGGAAGTCTTTAAGAAGAAGGAAAACCATAATCCAAGAGCTGGAAGAATATGAAGGCAGGTAGGTGATCAAGGGCATGATTTCATGGTCTGGGGCCTTTGCCAGCAATCTAGATTTTGGAATCTCTGTCCCTGGATTCACCATGCTGCACTCTGGCTGTGCCGGTAGCCCTGTCTGCGGGGCTGTGCCGTGAGCCTCCCTCCCTCATCCCTTTTTCCGTCTCAAAAGTAAATAAAAAATAGCATGGATTAATCAGCTGCCTGGTTCGCAGGCTCCACAAACAGTAGCTCTGACACAACTGCAGTAGCACAGAGGGGAGAACAATTGGAAGGAGTCTTGTAAATGGGAACTTTCTAAGGTGATGGTCTTGGCAAAGCCCCCGTCTTCTGAAACTATAGCTGGAGGAACTGATGTAGAGAGCAGGATGACATAATAGGATTGCAGATTTAGGAGACATGGATTTGGATCTTTCTGGGAAAGAGCTGTTATAATTGAAGGATTTATCCACGTTATCTAGAGCAGTGATTGTATTTGAAAAGTATTTTTCATTCTTGATGTGGAAGACTTAATTTGGCTGGTATGTGTAAGAAAATTCTTTTGACAGTGGCCCTTTCAATTTGTCTGCCTTGAAGGCACTAATGTGCAGCTGCATGGATGGTAATCCCAGCTGTCCAGTGCGAACTGCTAAAGAGGATCATGCTGAAATGTGGTTAAAACAAGCTTTGTCTGTGGTTGCTGCACGTTTCTACCAGGCATAGTGCCCTGGGGAGAGCAGTAGCACTCTGTTCTGCGCAGGGTCTCTGGGAGAAGTGCTGGGGAGGGCATTTAGGCTGTGCTCGGGGTGGCTGAGGGAGCAAGAAGTGACAAGGCGGGAACGGGGGGAAGGGAAAGGGGAGGAGGATCTGAATCTCCTACAGTTGAACGGTTGCTCCTGGGAAACAATTTGAAATACTCTTAACAAAACTGAGGATTTTAAAACAGGACGTTAAATTTGTAATTTAAACTTACCGTATCACTACATCATTTTATCTGGGGGCCAGAACTGAAATGCCGATGCCGTGACAACTTGGGGGACTGACGGTGCTGCAGCTGGAGGAGCCAGTCCCACAGAACGCACAGGATCAAAAGGGATTTTGTGCCCTTGGAAATGTTGCATTTAACTAATGGCTTGGCTTTTGCCTGCTTCTCATTGCGTAAAATAGATTGACATTTTTCAGCTCTTTAGGCCTTATTTTCCATTAACTGATCATGAAGGGTGGAGGAGAAATTGTACTCAAAACGCCAACAAACGCTGCCGCTAGCGCTGTTGGCGTTTCATCCGCGTTTTAAAAACCGCTTGACCCCGGGCCATCTCGGCGTCGGCAGGGCCGAGCTCTGCCCTCCGGCCCCGGCGGGCGCCTCTGCCATGTGCTGGGCGAGTGCGAGGCACGAGGAA